TCTAAATTAATAATTTTTATTCTATTTCTTCATTAATACTTTTAATTGATTATAAATCTTTGTAGCCTTGTAATGATTTAAATTTTATAAAAATACTACTCAACAAAAGATTTATATATAATTTATAATTGATTGTATATATAATTGATTGGTAGTATTTCGAGCCAAAATGAGCTGAACACGAACGAACAAATATTTGTTCGTGTTGTTCGTGTTACTTAGCGAACGAGTCAAACACTAGCTTCTTAACGAGCCGAGCACGAGCTGTTCACAAACAACGAGCTGTTCACGAACAACGAGCCGTTTTGATAGCCCTACTCGTAATAGTGAAAGTTTGAGACATGCTATTTTTTTCAATTATTTTCTTGGAGAAATATGCCCGAAAGTACATTTTAGGCCAAAATATTATTGCTTTTAGACACCTAACTATACAACAAAGTTGGAATCATGACAAAACAATAAGAATATATTTTGATCAGAGTAGTTTCTTGAACCTTTCTATTTCCAGTAAGTTCTTTATTTCTAGCATGTGTGTTCCGGCTCCGAGCGATGGTCACATTCCATTCATTATTTTATTTATTTATTTTATTTAGGATTAAATACAATATTCACACTTTAAACCCCTAAACATAAAATATATCAAATATTGATCTAAATTTCGAACCAGCTTCAAATATTGATCTAAATATGATTAAAGGTAGATCAATGATAATCTAAGATGAATCAAAGATGATTAAGATATTATTCGAACAATGATAAGACAATAATTAAATGAAGATTAATCACAATAATAAAAAAAAAGAATCAATCATTGCTCAATAATGATTTGAATATGATTTATTTTTATTTGATCATCATTCAAAAATGCTTCAATCATTATTTAAAAAAATTCTCAATGATAATTGGTTTCTTGCTCAATGATGGTTGCATCATAGTTTTATGATGTTTTGAAGATGTTTTGAATATGTCTTAATCATTATTCAAACATAATTTTGATTATTTTGTGAAGCTTCTTCAAGGTATTTAATCTTTATTTGATTATCATTCAATCAATATTTTCATATTATTTGGCCATTGTTTTAAAGTGGTCAAAATTTTCTTAAATAGTATTTGATTATTACTTGAAAATGGCTTGATTAGTATTTGATCTTTTTTCAATCATATTTTAACTATGATTTAATCTTTGTTCATAGATGCTTTTAAGATGGCTCGATCATGCCTCAAATATAACTTGAATAAATTTTGATTATATTTTTTACTCATTGTCTCTTTAAATTTGTCTCATTTATTTAAGTTGTCTCATTATCTATGTAGCTATTAGATTTAATCAAAATATTTGAGAGGAATCACAGTGCTTGGTTATATACAAGGATAAAATGCCAATGAGAGAAACTAATTTGACTTGTGGCTAATAACCCCCTTATCAAAGCTAAAAGATTCCTCATAAATCAATTTTCAAATCATTTAAAATGCAATTCTTTGTGGTTAAGTTCATCAATTACTATTAAGGATGGTTGATTATGCTAAAAACACATTGTTTAGGGTAACTTAGTTTGCTTTGGCCACAATGTGACACCTAAATTACTTTTTTATTTGATAAAAATTTCATAAAGATGAACAAAAGCAGTAGGCTACTCTAAAAAACTGCTTGATTGGGGATAGAAACTTAAATAATACAGACTTACAGGGAGCTTTATTGTAACTCACTTAAAGAAATGATGCATAAAAACTAAGATTACGCTTCTTTGTAGATGTTATTCTTCACAACCATGACAAATATAGGGTTATATATATATATATA